CTTAGGAGATGCACAACCTGCGCGTGATCGCCGCCCTCGGTCGCCATTTTCGTTATGTCTTCCATGTTGGTGATGCAGAATTCGAACTCAAAAGTGGGGTCAGAACCTGAGACCTTCGGCAGCAGCTCTTTTACCCCGTCCATTTGTTTATGGGCTTTGCATAACTCCAAAAGTTTTCAGTGAGATTTGCGGCGTTTCAAGAATCACATCCAGCAGAGTGAGATGACACCCGAGGTACTGAGAGGTATCGCCTTTCCAGTAATGTCTGGCGTTGACGGCGTCCTGCTCGAGGCCTCCGTACGCCACGACGTCAACAAACGCAAAGTTAGCGATAGCTGTGAAGGCTGAGTTGGCAGCGACGCCCTCTGCACGACACCGTTTGATAAATGCAGTGGTAGTTTCGGCGTCTAGGCTCCGTGTTAAGTATAAGGTCCTTGCTTCTTCCTCTCCCAATGCCTTGAAAGATCTTATTAGTAGTAAGTGCCTTTCCTGGAGTGCCTAATAGCCTCCTACCAACGTATTGTAGAGTTCCGGATCTCTTTTCACGAATGTCATTTGTTCTTTTATTACCTCCTTTGTTTTTTCATCCGAGACGAAAACCCCAAGCTGGTCCTTGTCACTGATATATTTTCCAGCCAGAACATCTTCGAGGATCTGGACGAGGAAGATGCAAATGATAGTGTTCGTAGTGCCGTCAGTGATAGCATGATTAATGCCCAGGAAAAGCGAATACACGTAAGGATATCCTGGAACGCCTTCCCATAGCGCAGCATCTGGAGAGTCTGGTTTTGCTTTCAGCTTCACGCACCACAAGGGACTTGTAACTCTGAAGTTTAGCGTGTGTATCTTCGTCCATTTCGTTGTCTGAAATTAACTGATGTAAATGGTCAGTTTTCACATCTCATAATGCCACCCTGATTATCATATAAAACAACATCATGTCATGTTATTAACCTATCCTGAATATCCATGCAAGTATCTACTGGGGCAGTTTCATCCTCTGCATGTGTGTGTGTGTGTGTGTGTGTGTGTGGAGAGTATTCACATACACCTATGTGTATGTACGTATATGTATCAATAGATATAAATACCTCAAAGTCTATTATCTCCTGCGGCATTTCCCGGACCCAAGTCTCTCCGTCTTGCTTGCCGAAGCACGTCCTCAGGAGAGGGACATTCCTATAAAAATAAATAAATGAAATGAATAAATAAATAAATAGAATAAAATTAATAGAAAATAAAACAGCAATGAATGCCTACTTATTTGTGTGTTAGATACTTCTTGCGAATATGAACATCCTTTCTGCAATAATTACGGTGTCTTTTTCATATGAGTTTTATGTAAAAATATACTAGACTAAGAGTTGAATTCGATAAATCTCTTACCCTCTAATAATTAATTTCTGTTATCTAGAAAAAAAAGGTAGTATAAAAATTCAGGAGTTAAAAAGCTAACCACAGACTACCACAACCTATGACAAAAAATGTAGCCCGGACGATTAACTAATAATTTAATAAATAATCTTACTCTCGATCCGCTCCTTCTAAATCATTTCCCTTTTAGATAATGGCATTGCATAATCAGTTTCCGGTAAATGGTTTTAAGACAAACATTTTCCACTATCCGTACCTGTGCCAATGGGTGATTGCGTGGACGAACTATTCTTCGTGTAGAAGTTCGCGCATGACAAGGGTGAGCTGGTAACTGACGGTGAAATGCTCGTACAGCTTTTCAGTCGAAGTCATCTTCCACAACCACTTTCCCTTCGTCCCTATCCTGGTTGTTCAGAGTAAAGAAAGGGAAATAAGGAAACGAGTAAGCACGGTAAAAGTCATTCATTGGGAAGAGGCATAAGAGTGACGCAGAGTATAAGCGACCTTGACTTGAGAAGAAGACATGAACTGTAATATTTATGTGGTGAATAACGTGCTCCACACTACTTGCCTGCTTCAACATCTTAGAGCTTCCCCAAGGACTTCAACCAAAGCCTAAGTATGACATCAATTGATGCTTGCACCAGATGACACTTCATACTTTATTTGTTTGTTTTTCATCATGGATTCACCTGTGATGCTCATTATACTAGGAATAGTAGTGATGATAATAATAAGGATGAAATTAACAAATTTTCATTGTAATAACGATACTAATAGTAATGATCATAACATAGCAAAATATCGAAAAATAGAATGATAATTTCTTCCAGCAGTGATATATAATCATAATCATAATAATAATAATAATAATAATAATAATAATAATAATAATGGTAATAATAATAATAATGATGATGAAAGTAACGTGAAATGAGAAGAACACATATCAATCATAAATACTCGCAAATAACTAACGGAACCTCTTGACCTGCGCTATGCTCTTGCCAAGTCCTTCTTCAAATGAAGCCGGTGTATCACGAAGTCGTTAGCAGTCTTTTACTTTGTTCTACTGATTGGTCATTTGAGTTGAACAAAGTAATATACAATGAGTGAACGTTGACAAATATTTACGATGACGAGGAATCTCAGCGAATATATTAGTGCGACTAAGGAGTTCGTAGTTTTATTCGACTGTGCTTATACTTCGCTTTGCTAAGCACAGGAGAAAGTTATGAAATGAAAATCGCAGTAGTCTAGCAGCCAGGAATGGATGTAAACCTAATAATAATAATAAAACTTAACATAAGACATAATCAAGAGTAGATAAAAATTTTCTTTCCTTTTTTATTTATTTCTTTCTTACCTTTTTTCCTTTTTCGTTTCTCTTTATATTTACGCAGGCGAATGAAACTAAAACAATTGCATTCTTGTATATAGGTACGTCCAGAACTGTAATAGTATCAGCCAAAATTGTTTTCAGGAAATGTGTGATTTTCGAATGACTGAATTGTATATAAAAAATAGACATATCATAAAGAGATACATTTTATGCAACAGAACAGATATAATTATCGAAATCCAGAACGGTCATTTTATTGGGGAAGGGGATGCATTTTCAAAAATAACGCATTTTGAAAACTTCATTGCTTTTATAAGACAATTGGTATCAATGTTCCCCTGCTGTTTATGCTTTTATCCCCATTATCAAATTTTGGTACCTATAGTAGTAACAATAATTATGATGATGGTGTTTATAATAATAAAAAGTAAGTTAAAATATAGATAATAAAGAAAATAATGATAATGCTTAAGGTAATCTTGGTCAAGATAATCATATGGATGCATCAGGGATAAAACAGTGAATAAGATGAAAATGATAGTCGAAGGGAAGCTGAACAGCATAGATATCTGCACATATTTATGTTCAAGATACATGTGTATACTTGATGCATCATTATGGGTTCGTTTTCTTTTTTCATGGAAAACTATGGAAAAGAAAGAAAAGCCAACCATTACCAGAATCATTTTATTGGTTTAATGGGAAATGCACAAAGAGCACAAATCGAAGACAACGTTAAATAAAGTTTGGAAAAAGTCGTCCTGATTCACTTACACATTTTATACTACCATCGGTTAATAATAATAGTAAGAAGAAGAATAGATAAAATAAAAATATTACGAGGACCTGGTACATCTATGGTGAAAATTTGATATTAAAACCTTTACACTATTTAGGACCATTTTCTACTCACCTTAAAATGATGCGGGAATTCTTTGGCTGGAAATCTCCTGTCATACATTACCAAATTAATTCTTACTTCTAGGATGAAATGAAATAGTAAATTCCGTTTAGTTTATCATATTATGGGGTTCAAATTTTGCTTTCAGTGCGGTCAACAGTGTGAACAGAATGCTGATACTAATGAAAGTGATAATAGCAATGATGATAATGATACTGGTCACAGGAATAACGAATGTGCAGTATGTCGTTTTTAAAATGAGGAATATACAAATATGCCTTCTCTCTCTTCTCTCTTTCGTGAAAAATATGTAATAATCACATTCACATCGAAACACACACACAACTCATTCTGATGATAAATTTATCAGAAACCAAAAAGTGTCTACCTTGCAGCATATTATTCCCAAACAACTGACATTTTACATTTATTCAAAAGGGCTTGATGGTTAAGCAATAGTCTTCGAGGCAGGGGATTAGAGTTCAACTACCAAGTCTTTTGATTTTCCAGTTATACCCAATATATAGTTTTTTTATGATAATTATGAAAACCATATTCATTGCTGGAACAATAATCATACAGCACTACTCATTTTATAGATTTATAAATCACATGGCGTGACTAGAGCAGAAGCATTGATGTATGTTGCAACTGTGATATTACTGTCATTTCCATTTCTCTTACAGTAATTTACAGTTTACCTTTCTTTAACGCTGAAATTTATAAGGTGTAGAACCCGAAAACTAGAAGTCATCAGCTAAAGCGTGTAATATGAGCTGCATTACCTATTTTCATATTGAAATAAAACAATCACTTGATAAAAGATACTCCCTACTTTCGCACAACGATAGACAAAGTTATATCTCAGGATATGCTTTAAGGGGACCAGACGGTCCCCTTAATTGATATTTTTAACATTTCCATTTTTTATAAATAATAAAGCTGAAGAAATTTTATACTCCAATAGAAAGTTTAGCGTAGCAATATGTAGATGTAGATCACAATATCATCAACTGATAGCAATTGTCATAATGATAACATTGGTATTACATGCAATAATATGCATAATATATGCATATTTACAAATTTATAGACATACATACATACACACACACACACACACACACACACACATATATATATATATATATATATATATATATATATATATATATATATATATATATATATATATATATATATATATATATATATATATATATATATATATGAGTGTGTGTGTGTGTGTGTGTTCGTGTGTGTTATATATATATATATATATATATATATATATATATATATATATATATATATATATATATATATATACATATATATACATATATATATGTATGTATAATATATATATATATATATATATAT